CTCCCGTCTTTACTCAGCCGAGAGAAGGGGAGAGGATGTGATAGATGCAGCATCTGGTCATCATGGACGCCTCTGCTTTCACTTACGCGGAATGATCCCGGGGAACCTTTGCTGGTCATGTGTTCCACATTGCCGGGATGGAGCGCAGCGCAGGTGCATTAAAGTGGGCCTGTCAGTATCCTGACGCGTGGCAATATACAGTGATAGTATCATTGATCAATAACACTCCACCTCCATTGAATAGGCTTAACCCCACCGACACCATCTTTGTTTAGGCATCATCCAGGGTCAGCATCTCCTCCCTGGACTGTAGATGCTTGCTTGGAGATGACACAGTTCTTGGCTGTGTTCACAAATGTCTGACACAGATCAGCCCCCTGCTGCTGCCTCTCACCCTCCCGCACTGAGATTGCTGACTTGGAGATGATGCAATCTTGTAAGTCGCGGTGCCTGTGCAGTTCTTCGTGTGTTCTCAAATGTCTGACACAGATCTGCCCCCTGCTGCATCCTGTCACCTTGTGACTTGCTTGAAGGTTGCAATGTACAGACTGATCACACGGGGAGACGGGAGACTCGGAAAATTCTTCCTCCTACATGCAGCACACGGATCACTGGGGGAGGGGAGACTGAGGAAATGCTTCCTCCTACCTGCAGCAGACTGATCACTGGGGGAGGAGAGACTACGGAATTGCTTCCTCCGGCCTGCAGCAGACTGAGGAAATGCTTCCTCCTGCCTGCAGCAGACTGATCACTGGGGTAGGAGAGACTACGGAATTGCTTCCTCCTGCCTGCAGCAGACTGATCACTGGGGGAGGGGTGACTGAGGAAATGCTTCCTCCTGCCTGCAGCAGACTGATGACATCCTCTCAGCCTAGAAGAGCACATCACTGGCAGACCTGTTTCTTTTCAGCTGCAGTTAAGTAACACTTACAGGTCTTGTCCCTCCCCCAGCCTGTGATTGGAGAGTGAAAGGAGAAGCAGGAGACTGATGCACTCACCTTTGTCACTGTGCTCTCTCCTCCTATCAGCATGCTCTTTGTTAGCACATGAGTACTACAGCACAGCTGACTGATCCCTTCTGCTGCTTTACTCTCTCCCAGCCTGAGCTCTGCTGTACAGTATGTTTCTAAAGACTGATACAAAATCAGATACAACACTTGCATTGAAGAGTTACATATAAGGATGTAATAATGAATACAGAGGGGGGGGGGAGGGTGGGGGGAGTGAAGGAGACCAGCATTCGGACCCCAGGGATGGGAAGACTTGGATGCCGCCTGGAATTTGTAGCCTCCGTCCGGCATTCTGGTGTTACACGTCAGGATGTGTGAGGAGGTGAGTCAGCATCGCGCACTGTGCACACGTCCCAGGGGCTGCGGGGAGCGGGGCGCTCAATAAATGAAGACATTGATACAACTTGTTATGGGCTGAGATTAGCAGATGGCACACAGCTGCCTCCAGATCCACCGCCATTGTGCAGCGCTGTGGGCGGAGTAACTCAGACGCATCATATCGCGGTGTAATGTCTGATATAATCCCCGGTGGCACCCAGCATGCAGTGCTCCAGGTGCAGGAGGATCAGTAACCCCATCTGACTTCCAGCTATACATAGACAGACAGAAGGGGCGTAACTAGAAATCACAGGGCCCCATAGTAACATTTTGTATGTGATTTCTAGTTATGCCCCTTGCAGAGCCCACCTGAGATGCCACACAGCCCACCTGAGACCCCACACAGCCCACCTGAGAGTGACCCTGCAGAGCCCGCCATAGACTCTCTATGGTGGGCTCTGCAGGGTCTCAGGTGGGCTGGTCACACCCTAGCATACCTCATACCTGTCAGCTCCGGTCCGCTGTCAGCCTTCTCCACCGCCGGGCTCCGCCTCCTCCTCGGTCGCTAGCAGGCTCCGCCTCCTCCACCACTGCTGGGACAGGCCTCTTCCTCCTCCTCCACCACCATCTGGCCCCGCCATCTCCTCCGCTGCCGCCGCCGGGCTCCGGCCTCCTCCTCCGCAGCTGTTGGCTGTCACTGACTCAGCAGCGGCTGTGAAGAGGAACGCGCCGCTACACAGATCACTGACAGGTTGTTCCTCCTCGCAGCCGCCAGTGACAGCCAACCAGGGCCGGTGCTAGGAATTTTGCCTACACAGGCAAAGTTGTCAAAATGCCCTGTTTTTTCCGCCCTCACCCTGCAGCGCCCTCAGGCGGCCGCTTGCCTTGCCTTGCGGTAGCGCCGGGCCTGCAGCCAACAGCCTGAGATGCCATAGCGACCCACACGGGCCTCAGGGGGACCCCTTTGTTACTATCAGCACCAATTCAGAGATGATTGGAGGATCTACAGCCGAGTGATACACAAATAAGATACATTGTTGTTCATAGTTAAGGGACTTGGACGCTCACTCCTGAATTTGGTGTCACTTTAATAAAGGCTAATTCCAGCCAAACAGATACTTAGCAGGCAAAAAAAGGAGATGAAGGAAAACAGAAGACATGAGAAGAGAAAAAAGTGGAGAGAAGAGAGGGAGCAGAGAAGAGACAATGAGAAGTAGGAGGGGAGAGGAATAGAAAAGAGCGGAGAAAGAAAAGAGTAGAGTAACATAGAAGAGAAGAGACAATGATAGAGAGGGGAGGAATGGATGGGGAGGAGTTTTGGGGGACGTGGACTCAGTTCACCTAGGGTGAGTTCTGGGAAGTGCTATTACTGGATTGACAAAACATTCAGATGTGCAGCAGATAATCCTGGATGGATCTTCAGAGGTCCTTGTACTGATTGGTCAGCAGTGTTGTGGATGATGAGTTGTTATAGACATGATGGTGACCTGGAGAGCTTTCATAAGGTGGACCCAGAAGGTTTCTAATGACCTATAAGTGTCAGCATGTCATCAGGAATCAAATATAAAAGGAGTCTCCTTTGCTCTTGAGATAGATATATCTAGCTGAGGGCTATGGGCATAGATGAGGTGGTGTGTACGTGGATAGAGAACTGGCTACGGGAACGGGTCCAGAGGGTATCTGTAAATGGCACCTTTTTTTTTGGACGATTTCCTGAGGGACCATAATATACAGGGGTACCAGTATCCCTAAGAATGAGATGATGCGTGGACCTATATGGGTTGGACTTGATGGACGTATGTCTTTATTCAACCCCAAATACTATGTAACTATGTAACTCAAGAGCAAAGGGGTTTGCTTCAGACCTGAAGAGAAGAGGGGAGCTCTGGAAAGGTTGTCTTTTGTATATTATGTAAGTCCAATAAGAAAGGTATAATTGTATACTCTATGCAAATTGTTGTTGTTTTTTGAGAGACAGAAGGAGAAAAAAAAGAGAATGGGAGAGATGAAGAAAAAGAGAGAGAGGGGTAGAGGAATGGAAATAGAGAGAAAGAGAGGGAGAAAGAAAGAAAGAAAGAGAGGGAGAAAGAAAGAAAGATGGGGATAGAAAGAGAGGGAGAGAGAGAGAAGGAGAGAGAAAGAAAGTGAAGGGGGGCGAGAGACTGAGAGGAGGTAGGGAGAAAAAGAGAGAGCATGAGAGAGAAGGAGAAACAAAGAAAAAGAAAGAAAGAAAGAATGAGAAGAGAGAAAGAAAGATGATTCTATCTGACATTAAAATGTCACATTTATTTCATGTAAGCAATTGAGCAATTGACCTCTTCACTCCCGCAGACCGCAGCGGGGTGTGTGACTTGGGCTCCGCAGCTGAGCGCTCTCCATCTGCTTGTTGCTGATTCCACATTTTTACTGATCGGAGGGAAATATATTTATCTGGGAAAATTCCACCTTTGCTAAATGGCTGAAGGGCTGTGACCTCTGACCTGACTTCTGTTCACCTCGTCCATCAGGGTGAGCGTAAAGGGTATCAAAGCAGAACAGCTCATCTAATTTATAGGTGGGAGATTCTTTAAAGAGAGTCATCTACAGAGTAAGAAAAGACCCCGGAGGCTGAAAAAAAATCTGTGAATGGCTGGGGACCGAAGAGGGTGAAATATGAGAGGGTGTAGTAAAGACATAACATCTATTTTTTAGTATGTTGGCATCACTGTATTCAGTTTTGTTTTTCAGTTTTACTTTTATTCTAGCCCATGTTTCATGTCACACCCATGTTACTGAATGTCTGTAGCTTGGTATGGACATGGATAGGAGGAAGAGTCTGCAGGAGCCAGAGCATTGCTCTGACCCAGGCGGCCGCTATGGGGCCTGGGCACAGGGGGGCCCGGCCAGGGCCGCCTGGGTCGCTATGGCATGTGGGGGTGCTGGCTGTCACAGACACAGCTCAGCAGCGGCCACGGCGCATTTCCCCTCGTAGCCGCTGCGGAGCTGTGTCGGTGACAGCCAGCCGCTGCGGCAGATGAGGGCCTCCTCTTACATCGCTGGCCAGCGACCTAAGAACAGGTGGGACCAGTGATGTAAGAGAAGGCGGGGCCCGTCGATAGCAGAGGAGGCGGAGCCCGGGGACGGAACAGGAGTCGGGGCCCGGCGACCACAGAGGCGCTGACAGGTAAGAGATCTTAGACCCTGCAGAGCCCACTATAGAGAGTCTATGGTGGGCTTTGCAGGGTCAC